AAAAAAAAAAAAAAAAAAAAAAAGTTAACTTATCTTTAAATTTTATTTCAGTTTAACATGGGAAAAAAGTCAATTCTGACTTTTTTCTCAGAATTCTGACTTTTTTCTCCATACTAAACTGAAATAAAATTTAAAAAATCAGTAAACTTTTTTTTTTTTTACCACGGCCCTAATCCTCCTCCATACTCATGCAAAACCACTGTTAGTTTAGCTTCATTTAAAATACGTTTAAAGTGCGATTAGATTCACATTTAGGAGCCAGATTTTGAGTGAAGTAACAAAGAAGGAATGGAGAGAAGGACGCTGACGTCGCTTATTACACCAACAGTTTGATTATACCATCTCAGTTTGTGTCTGTATCCCATAATAACAGTCTCCACTGACAAATATAATTCAATGAAGCACTCTAGCCTCTTGTTTACATATATTACTGCTGATATAAGTTCATTTAGCAATTTCCTGTGCGAACAGGGAACACTGGACCTTCCTGCTGTGATGACAGCATATGATGGTGTGGGAGTGTGTGTGATTCTGGTGAGCCCAGGCTGCATCTGGAGCAGAGGTCTGTCCACCCATGCAGGCTTTCAGCAGGGGGGGGGATCCCTCTCCCCTCAGCAGAGGCTTGGAGAAGACAATCTGTGCTTTGTTCAGAGAAAGAACAGGGCTGCGTCTCATATCAGCTGTTTTAACAAAAGCTGCTTTCTTCCATTTCTTCACCCTCAGTGTAACGTGCAACACTCAAAGTGATTCGTAACGTGATCAATATCTTAACACTTGGCCAGTATGAGAGGATATAAGAAATAAAAAGTGCACGACATAAAGAGAAAAATAAAAACAAGATAATCATCATATATCATCAATAAATATATTCCTTGTGTTTGATAAAGACTAAAAGAAAAGAAAATAACCTCTAAATACTTTTTCTTGTACTATTGTAAAACAGAGTCCAGGTGATTTTAACATGACTTTAAGAAATAAACTAGATTTTTTGTGTCAAGTCAGAATTCTGCAAAAAGGATGATAAACACTGATACAAGCAGGTTTATCTAAAACCGACTCTCCACAAGCGTTTTACACATTTTATGTGTGCATCATGCTCCTGCAGATTCTCTCCTTCTCTCTGTGAACCTGTTTCTGTTCATGACAATTTTTATCTCTTAGAGGAAGGAACCAACCTGAGGAAGTAAACCTCCGTTTATGTAAATCTGCCTTTTGACAGAATTAGACTCTATATTTGTTGCCTTTGTAGTGTTTTAAGGCACAAGCATCTTACTAGTCGAGAAATGACAATATCTTAACTTCTTTAATTAGAGCAAAATTAAGAATAAGGGGGAAAATATGAGTTTCGTTAAAAACAGACGAGATAAAGCTTTATTAATATAGGTTATAAATCAATAAAGGTATGTACTTCCTATACGTAATTTGTAATCTTAAAACCTTTTTTTTTATTAAGCCATTAATAATGGATTATGACATGCAGAAAAAAAAATTTTCAAAATAAAAATGGATCTGAGGCAAAACCAAAGATATTTTAATGAAGTAAAAGAAGTATCTGGTCCATGAAAATGTCTTATGATGAATCTGTGTAAAATATCTGCTTATCTGGTAAAAATGTGGGATGTTTTATTCTGTTATCGAGCTGCAGGGAAGGTCACTTCCTACTTTTCCACTGGTTTGTAATGTTCATCTGTCTTATTATCGGTCTAAAGTGCCTTCATAACTAAGGGAAGGAGCAATGGAAGGCGATCATGGGTTTGTTTTGTTAGCTTGGTGAGCAGTCAGCTGATTAGCAGGTCCCTGCATTCGATGTGTGACACAGCAGAACAAAGTGGGAGCTAATCTCTACAGAACGCCGCCATTGGGATGTTTGTGTTCATTTAGTCCAGGCGTCCAGTCGGTCCTCCAGGGGCTGCTGTCTTGCAGGTTTTAAAGGTTTCTCTGCTTTAAACACAGCTGATTCTGAGGATTGCAGTTCAGCAAAAGCCTGATAATCAACTATCAATGTAAATCAGCTGTGCTTGAGCAGGAAAACCTCTAAAACCTGCAGGACAGCGGCCCTCGAGGACCAACTTTGGGGATGCCTGATTTAGCACATATTTAAGCTGGTGGCAACAACTTGTATTGTCCAGGAGGTTTTCTATTTTATTAATGCAGATACCGAAGCTTAAATGACATTTTAAGTGTTCCTTTCATGCGGTAGCATTAGCGTATAGCATTAGCACAGCCAACATGGGGCATTGTTTGCCATTTATTCTTCGCCCGCCCATCAAGTCTATCTGTATCGTAGGGAAAGGTACCTCTAATAAAAAAAAAAATTCATAAAAAAAACTTGTGTTTTTGCCTGGTGGCTTTCCTGGACATCCTCACCATGTTTGGGTTTATAACGTCCAGCAGCGGGTCGTTGTTTTGGTCAGGTGTTCAGCTGCAAGGAGAAGGAGGAACTAATACAACAAATGTGTACAACTGCAGAAAATTCTAATGGGGAAGATTATATAAGTTAGGATAGGTAAGTATTTCCAGAACAACATTTTTAAGAATTTATTATATCAAACGTTGATCATTATGATGATCCTATATTATCTTAACTTTTAAAGATATAGAGGACAATGTTTTATTTCCGGGTGGAATCTTTATCAGTGATCCTCTAATTGTCAATCATTCTGGTGAAATGTTTACGTCCTACATGCTCGTCACATTAGCTATCGTTTTCTACACATACGCACTTTCAGACGTATATCTGTGGTGAGCTACGGTTTCAGACAGTCATTGAAGCTCACATTTCTCACCGCGGTTCTCTGAAAATGGCCGAGGGTCGTAGGAGAAAAAGTGTCTACGAAGTGTAAGAAGAAAGCTCAGAAAGCTTTGCACAGAGAGCTCTCCTCGCAAAGCATTATGGGATTTGCTGTCACAGCAGCCCGCTGTTAGTGACAGTAGCAGCTAATACCAAAGATGGCGCAGGCAGCGTGCAGTGGAGGAGGAGTTAAGTGACCAACAGGAAGCAATGGTGAGCTTGTATGACCTATGAGAACAACAACTTTGAAACAGAGCATGCACGAGGAGAAATGGGTTGTGCATTCTCTCGCACGCGGAAAATCCTCCACAATATTAATATAATAATTATTCATTAGTGTTACTTGACTAGCCAGCCATCAGTTGGGGGATCTAAACACATACAGCTCTTTTTTTTAGAGCTGTGTGTCTTTTAAAGTTTCTCTTCCCTAAAGCCAGCTGATCAGCAGTGTGCAGTAACAGTTGGGTAAACAGCACTAATGTGTTATTCTATGCTCTATAAACAGCAGTCCCC